GGTTAAAATTAAATCTCAGGAAGTCCAACATTTTACTGACCACATCATCTCTGTGGATAAATACATCAAGTTCACACGAGAAGATGTAAAAAATGGCAGGTTGGCTTTCTTGGACTGTGAGGTCTCAGTCTCTGATAGAGGACATTTGCAAACTGAGGTGTACCGCAAACCCACCCACACAGACCAGTATTTGCAGTTTGACTCCCATCTAGAATTCTAGAACTGTGCCGCTCCAGGTGGCTGCATGTTGGAGCAGCTCTGTTACTTTCATTCTGAGATTTTGCTTTTGGAAACTTTAATTCCTCTTTTTCTGGATGTAAGTCACATTTTTTGGATGATTGTTTCCTCTGGTATCAGATGCTGTGCAGCTGGAAGGATTTTTACTGAAACTTTTTTAGTTTTGGACATTTGTTATGATGCGTAACCATGGCAACGAGGCAGTTTTCTACAACAACAACAGCTGATTAACATCTCAAAAGCTCAAATAATATCTCAACTACAGCCCCAAATCTCAAATAAGTTGAAAGGATGTTCTTTGGACGCATTCTCATCTACCTGCCAGCTGTGCTCGAGTGCCTGACCACTGAGATCCTGGAACTTGCAGGAAACACGGCTCATGACAGCGGAAGGACAGAATCGTCCCTCGGCACCTACAGTTGGCTGTCCGCAGCGACGAGGAGCTCGGCAGACTGCTGGGAGGAGTGGCCATCGCTCTGGGAGGAGTTCTGCCTGCCATTCAGGCGGTCCTACAGCCTGGGGGAACCAAGAGGCCAGCCGAGTCTGGGTGGACGGATTGGACGTCATGTGTTGCCAGTGTCTTAGGATCCACTGTGGGATGGATCTTTACAAGAGATCCTTCCTGTCTACAGCCATCAGCATCTATAACATCTCTTAATGAAATGAGGATCACGAGTTACAACAACAAATAATTTCCCTTTGGGATTAATAAAGTATTTTTGAATTGAATTGAATTGAATCACCCTTTGGAGCACAAGTTAGGAGTCATCAGGACTCTGTACCACAGAGCAGACAGCGTCCCCACTAGCTCAGGAGCCAGGCAGAAGGAGAAATCCTACACAAGACAGGCTCTAGAGCAATGTGGATATCCTAACTGGGCCTTCCTGAAAGAAGAAACCCAAACAGGACTCCAGTCAGCCATCAGGTGAAAAGGAGGAACCCAGACCAGTGGTCATTCCATATGTTGAGGGAGTATCAGAGAAACTGAGACGTTTATTTTCTAAACATAACGTCCCAGTGGCTTTTAAACCCCAAAATACATTAAAGACTGGTTCATCCCAAAGATCCAGTCCCCCGGCACAAACAGAGTAATGTTGTGTATGTTGTTCAGTGTCAGGAGGGTGATCAGTCTTACATCGGGGAAACTAAACAGCCACTGGCCAAAAGGATGGACCAGTACAGAAGATCAACATCATCAGGCCAGGACTCTGCGGTCTACACTCATCTCCAGGTCAGAGGTCACTCTTTCAAGGATGAAGATGTTCACATCCTGGACAGAGAGGAACGATGGTTTGAGAGAAGAGTAAAGGAGGCCATCTTTGTGAAAAGAAACCGTCCATCATTAAACAGGGGTGGAGCCTCCAGGTTCAACTGTCCCCCTCTTACAATGCTGTGATTGCTAGTATCACTCAGCCCTCTGTGAACAGTAAACAGCCATCAGGTGCTAATGATCCATTGTTAGGCTGATGGTCCTTCTTGAGCATGTGAGCAGCTGGTTCTGGTTGTCAGCAGCAAACTGGTTGATCCACTCTGAGAAGGTGCTATTTAAGAGACTGAGCTGAAAACAGCTCCTCAGACTGAGGAAGTCTCTTGGATGAGAGACGAAACGGTTCTACTTTTATTTTGTGTTGTTTTGTTTTTTTGAACATCCAGAGGACCAGACTTAATTTTTTTTAGATTTTTCTACCTGGATTATTGAGCAGCAGCAGAACATTTTCCATAACGTTGACATTCTGGAAACACTGTGTGTAATGATGAAAATCATGCAGACTATGGCTGAAATACGATCACGAGACTTGTTAAGACTTACCTGTGAAAGATAATTCCAATCAATATGGTTTGGATACATACATTTTTGTTTAATTAAGTTTTTATCAACATTACAAACGTGTCAGAACAATTCCGAGCAGCACACGTACCAGGCATTTTACCATCTCCGATTCCTGACTCCACAAAACATGTTGCTGACGTAGGAACGCCGTTCAGCGTTCTATGGGGCGTCTACATATTAATGTCTGTGGTCAACACCAACAGGGAGGACAAAGAAAAACACAGACTGGGAGCTGTCCTGTGATGATCGGTATGTAGTGATAGCCAAACATAATTTTTCTTTTCACTGCTATGCTGATGATGTACAAATTTATTTACCAATGAAACCTAAAAACAGTAACCTTCTCACACCTTTCGCTGATTGTATTGCCGACATTAAACAGTGGCTTCATCGTAATTTTTTTGTTTTTAAACCAAGGAAAGACAGAATGCATTTTCTTTGGTGATGATGCTCCTTGTAACTTTGGTGCTCTGACATCCAAGTTCAGACCCACAGTTAAAAACTTGGGAGTGACATTTGACAAGGACTTAAAGTTTGATAAACAAATATCCTCTGTAGTCAAGACCTGTTTTTATCAGTTACGTCTTTTATCCAAAGTTAAGCCTTTTTTAAATCGTTCTGACTTGGAAAAGGCCATCCATGTTTTTATAACTTCAAGGCTCGACTACTGCAATTCCCTATATGCAGGAATCTCCCAATCCTCCATTAGACGCCTGCAATTGGTCCAAAACGCTGCAGTTCGACTTTTAACCAACACCTCCAGACGTGAGCACATCACCCCTGTTTTATTTTCTCCACTGGCTTCCAGTCGATTTTAGAATTAAATTTAAAATTTTATTATTCACTTTTAAAGCGCTCAATGGTCTTGCCCCACTATATTTGACTGATCTTGTAGCTGTCCGTGAATATAGGAGAACACTGAGATCATCTAATACATTTCTACTTTCTGTCCCAAAGTCCAACTACAAACGATGGGGTGACCGGGCCTTTTCGGTCGTTGCACCCAGACTCTGGAACCAGCTACCTCAGGACTTGCGCTCCATCACTGATATGGAGCATTTTAAATCTAATCTTAAAACCTTTTTATTCAGGCAGGCTTTTAATACCTAGTAGGTCTTTGATAATCTTGTTATGTTTTAATTGTTTTTGTTTCTAACTGACTGATTTTTTATTCTTGTTTGTTTTTAACTTCTGTACTGTGCAGCACTTTGTGCACCTTTTGGCTGCTGGAAAGGGCTCTATAAATAAAGTTTGATTGATTGATTGATGTATGAACAGATTTATTGAGTTTGAACTGGGCTGATCCTGCCATGATAAAAGTTTATGTTTGTTTCTAGTGTTGTGTCCAGGTTAAAATAAAACAGGGCTGAGTTGTGTTTGGTTTTACTAAAGATGACAACCAAATCAAGTTTTATTAACAAACAGATCAATAACAGAGCACAGAGACGAACTGCAGCTCGAGGGACAAATCACAACAGGATGATGAACTGCCTTCAGGCTCAGTGCAGCTGCTTTAAACTTGACACATTGAATATTGCACGAGGGTGCACATGTCAGGGGTTCATCCAAAGTAAGATGTTTTAGAATTGATTGGTGACTAGTTTATATTTTGATCGGTGACTTTAGTCACCCCCTCCCTGGGCTGCCACCTTACCGTGGTGGAGGGGTATGAGTGTCCCAATGATCCTAGGAGCTATGCTGTCAGGGGCTTTACGCCCCTAGTAGGGTCAACCGAGGCAGACAGGTCCTAGGTGAGGGACCAGACAAAGTGCAGCCCAAAGACCCCGATGATAAGAAACACAAATGGACTTGATGTTCCCTCGCCCGGACGTGGGTCATCGGGGCCCCACTCTGGAGCCAGGCCTGGAGGTGGGGCATGCGGGCGAGCACTTGGTGGCCGGACTTTTACCCATGGAGCTCGGCCGGGCACAGCACGAAGAGGAGACGTGGGTCCCCCTTCCCTTGGGCTCACCACCTGTGGGAGGGGCCAAAGGGGTCGGGTGCAATGTGGGATGGGTGGTGGCTGAGGGCGGGGACCCTGGCGGTCTGATCCTCGGCTACAGAAGCTGGCTATTGGGCCGACGTGGAATGTCACCTCACTGGTGGGGAAGGAACCTGAGCTGGTGTGTGAGGTTGAGAGGTTCCGGCTAGAAATAGTCGGACTCACCTCTACGCATGGCTCTGGCTCTGGAACCAGTTTCTTTGAGAGGGGCTGGACACTCTTCCACTCTGGAGTTGCCCCTGGTGAGAGGCGTCGAGCAGGAGTGGGCATACTTATTGCCCCCCATCTTGGTGCTTGTGTATTGGGGTTCACCCCGGTGAATGAGAGGGTGGCCTCCCTCCGCCTACGTGTGGGGGGATGGGTTCTGACTGTCGTTTGTGCTTATGAACCAAACGGCAGTTCAGATTATCCACCCTTTTTGGAGTCCTTGGAGGGGGTACTGGAAAGTGCACCCCCTGGGGACTCCTTTGTTCTGCTGGGGGACTTCAATGCTCACGTGAGCAATGACGGTGAGACCTGGAGGGGTTTGGTTGGGAGGAACGGCTCCCCTGATCTGAACCCGTGTGGTGTTCTGTTGTTGGACTTCTGTGTTCGTCATGGATTGTCAATAATGAACACCATGTTCAAGCATGAGGGTGTCCATATGTGCTCTTGGCACCAGGACACCTTAGGCCGCGGTTCGATGATCGACTTTGTCATCGTCTCATCTGATCTACGGCCACATGTCTTGGACACTGGGGTGAAGAGAGGGGCGGAGCTGTCCACTG